GGAAATGGGGTCTATGGGGCGGAATTTGGGATCTATGGGGCAAAATTTGGGATCTATGGGGCAGAAATGGGGTTGGAAATGGGATCTATAGGGTGGAATTTGGGATCTATGGGGCGGAAAATGGGGTTTGGGGTCGATCTATGGGGCAGAAATGGAATCTATGGGGTGGAAAATGGGGTTGGGAGCGGATCTGTGGGGCAGAATTCGAAATCTATGGGGCGGAATTTGGGGCTGGAAATGGAATCTATGGGGCAGAAAATGGGGTTGGAGGTCGATCTATGGGGCACAATTTGGGGTTTTGGGGGATCTATGGGGCAGAATTCAGAATCTATGGGGCAGAAAAATGGGATCTATGGGGCAGAAATGGAATCTATGGGGCAGAAAATGGGGTTTGGGGGGATCTATGGAGCAGAATTCAGAATCTATGGGGCGGAATTTGGGGTTTTGGGGAATCTATGGGGCAGAAATGGGGCTCGAAATGGGATCTATGGGGCAGAATTTGGGATCTATGGGGCAGAATTTGCGATCTATGGGGTGGAATTCAGAATCTATGGGGCAGAAATGGGATCTATGGGGCAGAATTTTGGGTTTGGGGTCGATCTATGGGGCAGAAATTGCAATTTTGGGGGATCTATGGGGCAGAAATGAAATCTATGGGGCAGAATTTGGGATCTATGGGGTGAAATTTGGGATCTGTGGGGCAGAATTCAGAATCTATGGGGCAGAAAATGGGGTTTTAAGGGGATCTATGGGGCTCGGAATGAAATCTATGGGGCAGAATTTGGGGTTTGGGGTCAATCTATGGGGCAGAAAATGGAATCTATGGGGCGGAAAATGGGGTTTTGGGGTGGATCTATGGGGCAGAATTTGGGGTTTAGAGTGGATCTATGGGGCGGAATTTGGGATCTATGGGGCAGAAAATGGAATCTGTGGGGCAGAAATGGAATCTATGGGGCAGAAAATGGGGGTTGGGGCCGATCTATGGGGTGGAATTTGGGATCTATGGGGCTGGAAATGGAATCTATGGGGCAGAATTTTGGGTTTGGGGTCAATCTATGGGGCAGAAAAATGGGGTTTTAAGGGGATCTATGGGGCGGAATTTGGGATCAATGGGGCTCGGAATGAAATCTATGGGGCGGAATTTGGGGTTTGGGGTCGATCTATGGGGCAGAAATGGGGTTGCGAGGGGATCCATGGGGCAGAAAATGCGATCTATGGGGTGAAATTCGAAATCTATGGGGCGGAATTTGCAGTTTTGGGGGATCTATGGGGCAGAAAATGGAATCTATGGGGCAGAATTTGGGATCTGTGGGGCAGAATTCGGGGTTTTAAGGCGATCTATGGGGCAGAAATGGAATCTATGGGGCACAGATCTATGGGGCTGCCCCACTTGCCGCGGGCCCAGGCGCTGCTGCTGGCGGCACTTGTGGGGCTGGGGCCGCTGCTGTGGGGCAGGGGGGACCCGCACAGCGTGCTGGGCTCGCCCCACAACCTGCTGGAGGCGTGAGTTGCGATCTATGGGGCGGAAAATGGGATCTATGGGGCGGAATTTGGGATCTGTGGGGCAGAATTTGAGATCTATGGGGCGGAATATGGGATCTATGGGGCAGAAAATGGGGGTTTGGGGGATCTATGGGGCGGAATTTGCGATCTATGGGGTGAAATTTGGGATCTATGGGGCAGAAAATGGATTCTATGGGGCAGAATTTGGGGTTTAGGGTCAATCTATGGGGCAGAATTTGGAATCTATGGGGTGGAAAATGGGATCTGTGGGGCAGAAATGGCGTCTATGGAGTGGAATTCAGAATCTGTGGGGCAGAAAATGGGGTTTTAGGTCGATCTATGGGGCAGAAATGGGATTGGAATGGGATCTATGGGGCAGAATTTGGATTCTATGGGGCTGGAAATGAAATCTATGGGGCAGAATTTGGGATTTTTGGGGCAGAAAATGGGGTTTTGGGTCGAACTATGGGGCAGAAAATGCGATCTATGGGGTGGAAAATGGGATCTATGGGGCAGAATTTGGGATCTATGGGGCGGAATTTGGGATCTATGGGGCTGGAAATGGAATCTATGGGGCAGAAAATGCGATCTATGGGGCAGAATTCAGAATCTATGGGGCAGAAAATGGGGTTTGGGGTCGATCTATGGGGCAGAAATGGAATCTGTGGGGCAGAAAATGGGGTTGGGGTCGATCTATGGGGCAGAATTTGAAACCTATGGGGCAGAATTTTTGGTTTGGGCTCACTCTATGGGGCAGAATTTGCGATCTATGGGGTGAAATTTGGGATCTATGGGGCAGAAAATGGAATCTATGGGGCACAGATCTATGGGGCACGGATCTATGGGGCTGCCCCACTTGCCGCGGG